CTTTCTCTTCGCACCGCGTTTTCAGAGGCATGCGTTTAGGAACATGGCCAGAACCTTTGCAAGGCGAGGGGCAGGGTTGACAACGGCCCCCTGATTGTGAAAGCGCTTACCACAGTGACCCATCTCTAGGCGAACTTCGAATTTGGGAGCGAGAGCATCGCATGATCCATGCGACGCGTTGGTTCAAACTTCAACCAATCCGTTTCTCGGTCTTTGTCCAACGGACCACTCACAAAAGCTCTTTTATTCGCGCCGATAGAGGTGCACATGGTGATTGTCATGACGACGGTCGTCGGGACTGCGGGGAAATAGCGCAATGCTGTTACAAAGCGTTGACAGCGCAACTTAGACTCGAAAGTAATTAAACGATATATTCATTAAGTCTTGACAGTGCTACACTGGCACTTCCCCGTGTTATTCTTGCAAGCAAATAGTCCTGAGGCTCCATTATAGTATGTTTTCTTTTTTTAATATGCCCTTAGGTGGGATACTCCGCTTAAAGGAAGCCTTCAATGTCTGAGATACTTGCTCAGAGAATTAGCCAATTGAGGTTGGGATTACGACTAATGCCAGTGAACTTGGGTCAGTATCAAGGCCGGACCGATGTCAAAACCAAATTGTTTGTTCACTAAAGAATGTGTGTGAATAAGTTTTTTTGATGCTTCTTTCCGATTTCTTGATCACAAGGATGTCAACAGACATCGTGTCTGGACTTCTTGCAGGCCAGCGGAGGTCACTGACCAAAAATGACTCCTAACAGCCGTCTTTTCCAACTGGTGCGGTGCAGCCTTCCGACCGGTGTGACCTGAAAGCAACACCATTGAAATTTTGCCCAGAACAGGTCCTTAGGGTTTAAGCATCTGCATGACAGGGTCTGGGGGTACCTCGGATACCGATGTGAAGTTTGCCCTTATTTTGTCCAAACATCACCAGGTATTTTGACCAAGTCTATCTCAAAATTTGACACAAACGAGTTCATGCACAGGCCTTCCTACTTTGGGAATTTTTCGGTTTGGGCTTCCTTGCTTTGTTTTATCTCAGGGGTCATATTGACCCCCTCCCCTACCGAGCGCGTCGCAATCAACCGGCCACCCGTGCGCGTGTTAAATTGTTGTTGCGCGTCTGAGGCGTGTGTAAATCTCCATGAAATGGATGCGTCCCATATTTGTAAGACACCTTAATTTATTGTGGGCTAGCTCTCTCAGCATTACAAAACAGTAACAAACCGGCCTACAAGACAAGTTTCGCTAAAATGCGTATACTTGCGCACCACTTAATGACGCCATTTTCTGTAGCCCATGGTGTTGCATTTCTTCGCAGTCTGAAGATTGTATGCAAACCCAATTCTGCGAATTGCCAGGAAATCGTGTTAGAATGCAGCTTAACGTTTCAAAATTCAATTACCATGGGATTCCAGATGGAACTCGAGCTTTCCTGTATTTTTGCCGCAAGACGTATAGAGCAAGCTTGGCCGTAATGATATTTAAAAACATCAAGGTTACTATTAATGGTGGCATATCTTTACCCAAGTTCAGCTGCTCCTGGCTAATTCGTAGGTCACAGGTGATATTTTTGGGAAAAGTGAGTGATTTGGCAATCAACAAACATTGCCTTTCGACAAACTCGACGACTGCAACACGCAAAATGCTCACAAAAAACTGCCTTGCCGCGAAGACACCAACCGTCCTTGCCGAAGCCCAACTTTGGTAGAGCTGAGCTCATTGAAGTTATGCTGACCACATTCGTGATGTGGCGAGACGCTTAGTGGAGTAGTTCGCCATCTAGAAAAGGTGTTTATATATGGCTCGCCGAAGAGGACCATTTGGCTGCTAACTAGACAGCGCCAGCCTGATCACGGGGCGGCAATGGCCGTGCCCGTGTCTGGCGCCTTAGGTCATTTCATGTTATTTCGGTACAGGTCCGAGGCAGAATGAGTCTGTTTCTTATGAGACCGTACCGCAAAGAAAGTCTGGTTTCAAGTCACATAACGTAAGGTTCGGAGCCCTCCATGGGTAGAAGACCAAATGGCGCTTAGCGTAAAAGTCTTCACGAGACCAGTGAATCAGTGACGTCAGTAACATGTTTAGTTCGCAATAAAGCTTCATGGCCCAACAAAGTCTTACATAAAGTGGCTTAGCCCCATAATTCAAAGTTACCCATCATTTGAGGACATAATTTTGAGATTGAGGGACCAAGTTTCCCCACTGTTTCCTCCACGTTGACACCACGACGCAGAAGGGTCAAAGTAAATAGCGGGTGCGTGATAGTCATCTTTTGCCTGCGCTTCCTACGGCATTCCAGCCAAAAACATTGCGGGGGGGGCAGTGGGCAAGCCAACATTGTGGAGCCCAGCTCAACATCGGGTGGGGGGGGGGAGGGAAGGGAACGTAGGAGGCCACTGCCCTCACAGCAGAATACAAATCGGCATCCGTGTTCCAAACAATGTCCGTCAAGTTAGCGTCGCATTCGTATTTAAATGCATTGTCCACTTCAGATTTTCAAAGCAGTCTCCCTGGCTCAAACCCAATGGTTTTCCAGAAATCTGCTGGATGTGCAAATATGGAGCAGAACTTAAGTTTTCTTTGATAATTCGGCATCATGTTTTTGGCCTACGGGGCGTAGATGCTACAATAATGGGTGTGGTTTGAGTTAAAGTGGGTGTTATATCCAGAATGCTCGCATTAATTGATCGAGAAATGATATTGCATTACACAGAAGGCATGCAATCGACTGTAGCGAACAGTGCATCAGATTCCACAGGAAGCTGGCACACGAGTCCTGAGCCAGCCCGGCGCGAGCTCACGACCTCGAAGCTAGGCCTCAAGTTCGCTGGTGCTACCTCGCCGCCGACTGCGCCACTGAGACCGTGGATGGCGCCTCGAGGTCGGAAATTCCACAGCGCACCGTGGATGTAAATCCTGGCGCGGACGCCGTGGGATCTGACCCACTGGGCCAGAGTCAATAGATATGCTTAGGTTGCAATATAAATTAGCAAAACAGAACTCGATCTACAGCTATAAAAAAATTAATACGTGAGCCCTTTGGCTTGGTAGAAAAATTATACATGGAACGGTTGTGCTGACAATGAGCTTTAATGGGGTCTGGCTAGGTCACATACATGATACGAGGAAGAAACCTGATCACACGGTTCAAAACGCTTGTCGGGATTTCTAGTTTTGCTGTAGGATTGAGACAAGGTATTAGTGCTGCGGATACAAGGTATTAGTGTTACGGATACAAGGTATTAGTGCTACGGATACATCAATCGTTCGAGATATGGTCGGCGTCTGATGTGTTATTATGCGCACGGCGGCTCGGTCAGTTAAAGCTCTGGTCGTCACGGCGGCTCGGTCAATTAAGGTTCCGGTCGTCACGGCGGCTCGGTCAGTTAAAGCTCCGGTCGTCACGGCGGCTCGGTCAGTTAAAGCTCTGGTCGTCACGGCGGCTCGGTCAGTTAAAGCTCTGGTCGTCACGGCGGCTCGGTCAGTTAAAGCTCTGGTCGTCACGGCGGCTCGGTCAGTTAAAGCTCTGGTCGTCACCAAATGTTATTGGAGTGCTTCGAAGGAGAGGATAATGCTTGGCTCTTAATCCCGTACGCGTCACAAGAATTCGCTTATTTGAATTTGCTCAACATGTCAGCATTGTTGTGCTCTTTTTTCATGAGCAAATAAATGCCAGGATATCTAATTTGATGTGACCCTGACCTTTGACCTTGAGAGCGAATTTGTTTAGATGTGACGAAGGTGGACATCACGAGTATCAAAATGATATCCATTCTATCGAATTTCTTCGACAAACGAAGGGATACCAAGGGACGTAGGTTTTGACTGTTCAGTGACCTGTTAAGGTCAAACTAAGTGACTGAGGAACGAAAATTGCAGATGCGTGAATAACTCAACGGGTTTGGCCAGGGGAGATTGCTTTTGGAAATCTGAACTTGACAATGAATCTGAATACGGATACGACACCAACTCGACGAACGTGATAAAATGGTTCTGTTTGCCCGCACGCTGAGCAGTACGCAGGCTCCGCACTGCGCCATCTGCTGCACAATTTGTTTCACTAAAGTTGGTGTTACCGGTGGAGAGTTTCTCCGCTGCTTATAAACGCGCTGTCACTCCGTGCTGTCAATCTGGCACACTGTGTTTGAATATACCTGCTTGCAAAATATTGATGCTATACGGTGAACTCTTGCGTGCTGAATTGAAATGAGCCAAATTGTGTCACCAAATTCACTGTAGTGTGGCCAGCATGCTCTCTTCAGGTGAATGTAAGTCTAGAAATTCATGTATTATTCTCTAGGATGCCGGGCGATGTCTGGCTAAAATAATGTGCACCGCAAAGGAACTATTTGCGATAATTGTATTTGGTAATACCAGAGGCAGCACGTCATGTACTTTTGGAGGCCCAAGAGGCTCTCTCAGATGCTCTCTCTCAAGAGGCTCAGGAGGCTCTCTCCCCGATGTTGGTCCGAGCCCCCACTCACAATATTCCTCTGAGCCCCGTTCCCCCGCCCAATACATGTCGGGAGAAAAAACAACCAAGGAGATGCAGAAATGTCACTGAAGTGCTGGCACACTGGTGGTGCCTAAAGGTATTAGTATCAATGTCATGATCAGTGTGCCCTACATACCCTAATAAACGTACCCGATATGCTTTCGTTTTTCCAGCATCTTTATATGTTACGCCACTCCGGAAAGATTGGCAAGTTTTCACCAGATTGCGACTAGATCAGGACAAAAAAGGATGGCAACAGCTAAGAAAAAACGACGTTCAGGTACTGTTTATTTGACATAATAAGTTTAACGTTCCTATACTGAGTTGATAACCTTCACTTTGCCACGAGTTGCTGGCCAAAAGACGTGATAGTGTTGGAACGACGATTATATTGGCGTTATTCAATGTTTCAAGCTGTGCTCATCCTTAGAGGACTTGCGCAAATGTGTGAGTGCAACGACATCGGTATGACTCATGCGAGCGCGGTGCGCGTGCTTTGTTACCTCCTGGTCGGAGACGAAATTGCCCATCTTGCCAGTTCGCAGCAGCGTGAACATGGCCTGTGTTACGTTCAGGGCATGCCGCCAGTTGTGATACTTCACGGGCCTATAGTTCTTCTGTACACTGAGAATCCAGCGACAAAGCACCTGTCGGCAACACAACGCCGATGAGGCCATGACAGACCGGAGCGGTGGCCAGCTGCGATGACTGTACTTGGCTGGGTGGTAGGATCATAATACAATTGGGATGGCTGTGCCTGACTGAGTGGTAGGATCACAGAGCGAACAGCTAGGTTCGCTGCCTGTCACATAAACTGAAATTCACCCTTGCACAAACACTTTGCCACTTCGTACTGTTCAAAAATTGAGCATGGGTTTCGACGATATGCAAGAGCGACGACGCAACATTATATAAAATCGCACCAACAAACAAAGCACGAAAGGCTCAGATAACAGAACGTGCAACTACACATGCGTATTATAACACTGACGAGTACCTATTCACACACCAGGTACTCACGCCCACACGCACGCACGCACGCACACTCGCTCGCACACACGCACGTTGGCATGCACGCGCGCATGCTCGCACGCACGTACGTCCCCAGGTGCACGCGCACGCACACACACACGTACGCACGCACGCACGCACGCACGCACGCACGCTCGTTCGCACACACGCATACACGCATGCGTTTTAAGCCCGCCACATACACATTTACACGTACTCGAATGACTGCACTTGATGATCCGTATAGGCAAGTCCAAGCAGTGCCAAGAGGAACTGGTGAAACGGCATGTTCGCAAGGCCATGGTTATATTAAACACACCTGACGTTTAAAGCTATGCTGCATTGCTGAAGGAAAAACAAGAGAGAAGAAGAACTCAAAACTTAGTCTTGAGACACGGTGCTGTTCTGAATCTGTACACACTCTGACATTAGGATATAACACACTATAACACACACACACACACACACACACACACACACACACACACACACACACACACACACACACACACACACACACACACACACACACACACACACACACACACACACACACACACACACACACACACACACACACACACACACACACACACACACACACACACACACACACACACACACACACACAATCACTCACATGTATATATATATATATATATATATATATATATATATATATATATATATATATATATATATATATATATATGTTATATTGCATATATTTATATATTGGTATGGAGAACACAAATGAAGCATGACTAATTGAGGGTACTTCGTATATATATATATATATATATATATATATATATATATATATATATATATATATGTGTATATATATACATATATATATATATATATATATATATATATATATATCTATCTATCTATCTATCTATCTATCTATCTATCTATCTATCTATCTATACATATATACGAAGTGACAAGGTGTTTGCACACGGGTAATTTCAATTTTGGTGACGGACAGCGAACCCTGCTGTGCTCGCTCTGTGATCACACCACCCAGCCAGATACAGCGATCCCAACTGTACTGTAATCTGACGTTGAAAACGAAATACGACATATGGCAAGACACTTTCACAGCAAACCAAGACAAAGCATCCAACCAACCGTCAAACTGTATCATCGAAATCTAATGGCATCTGCCCATAAGCAAGACGAAAAAGCTTTACGGGAATTATCTCTCGACATGTTAAAGACAAAAAACGACCATGAAGTAGACATCGTCATTTATTATCGTAATAAGAAAATATCTAGCTTTGCAATGAGAAACAGCCCAGACAAACCCGACAAACTAAAATGTGCCAATGTAGTGCATCAATTCAAATGCAACATCGAAGGCTGCATACTTCGTTACATACACTACATTGGTGTGGCCACAGCGACACTCTCACGACGCCTGACAATGCACTTAAGTGACGGGGCACCCCCTCTGGACCACATGCGACACGAACACGATGGGACATTGACACAACAACTGACGGACAACAATGACATTTTAGGGACGAGCAATGACAGCACATGCCTTAAAATTCGGGAAAGTATATCCATTAACGGACTCTCTCCAGCCCTAAACAGACAAACGAATTCTTACACAACTCTGCATACTTCGTTATGTTCTCCGTACCAATATATAAATATATGCAATATAATATATATATATATATATATATATATATATATATATATATATATATATGTACAATACATATATAAGGTGTTGAGATGGAGATGAGAGCAGCATGGTGATGAGTGATGAGAGCGACTGATGTTTTGCATAGTCCTGGACTCTCGCTCTCGTTGGAATAAAATAAATTGCTTTAAGAATAAAATGAGGCATTATCACTTAAACTTTGGGATAGTAGAGGTTGGCTGTCGAGATATACTCTGACTAAAGCAGTTTGTTTTATTTCATTGAAAGCAGTTTAAACGAGAGAGTGAGCATAAGGCTACGTAAGACGTCTGAGCAATGACAGTTAGCACAAGCAAATCTGCGTGCGCATTCTAATCCGAAATGTTCCATTCCTTGCCTGAATCGTCTCACGCATCCTTAATCGCCACCCGAGGCTTAACACACACGCGTGCTGATACTTGGTTACAACAGCTTTGTTTACGCTTTGCACATTTGTAAATAGTAAGCTGGTCATTGTGATAAACACTGATGTCTACTGGGAGACCTTTTTTGCCTACGCTTGGTGCGATTTATGAAAACCTTTCGGCTCTGCTGTTTGTACGCCAGACAGCGCTCAGCACATTACCGTGCACTCCCTGTTAAAACTAAAATCATGATTGGCTGGAATGCCCATGAAGTTTAAGAAATGGTCTTGACGCTTGATATTGGCGGCAAGCGATTTTCCAAAATTATGCTCGCGAAAGGCCATCGAAGCCTGCAGGAATAGCTAAATCTCTACTGCCGGTACGTCAAGAGCCGGCCGTCGGCTGCCTCTCTACTGCCGGTACGTCAGCAGCCGGCCGTTGGCTGCCTCTCTACTGCCGGTACGTCAGCAGCCGGCCGTTGGCTGCCTCTCTACTGCCGGTACGTCAAGACCCGGCCATCGGCTGCCTCTCTATTGCCGGTACGTCAGAAGCCGGCCGTCGGCCGCCTCTCTACTGCCGGTACGTGACGTGGCGTGACTTTTGTCAACACCGTCGGTCAGTGTAAGATATGGTGTGATATTTTTGGTCCCAATCGACCCTGATTTAATGGAGGAAATGCCGGGTTGATGAGCATGATAATGCACGACACACCCTGCGGGCGACTTTTGTCAGTCGCAAAGGGCGACTATAATAGTACACTTGAAGGCGATACCAGCAGCCCGAATATCACGCTCCACAACCAGTCCATTGCATCACTGGCGTACTGGACGGCACATAGCATACACAGCTCGTGTTTGGTAGGGGCACTACTCACATCATATGGAATCCGAAACTTCTTGATCATATTTGTGTCTTTAAACATTCGGATGGCAGCAGTGCAAGTGTCTTTTGTGTCCAGATCCATGTCGTCGAACTGATAGCTGCAGCACAGGGCGCATAAACAGTCACTGGTGCTTCGACTCTTCTACAAACCACGGTGTGCATCAGATCCATCGGCGCAAGCAGTGGCGGGCAGCCCCAATGCTTGCAAGAGCACTGCAGGCCACTACCCTCTTGTCTAGGCTTATCTGCTGTTCAACCCCACAACTAAACCTTTTGTTGGGTTGCGGACGAAACGATATGTAGCTGGCATGGATACAGTTACTGTGCGCTCATGCCAAGATCTCATGCAGGCGGTCAGGTGCGGTACCAGTCGATTAGCTGTCCGCAGCTGTTCAATTGATACATCAACTGCTGTCGGGTGTAGATGCAGCTATTGCATCAGCCAACTACTCGCTCGCACAGGTCCTGCTCCTGTTCTAGATCAGTGCTAACTGCGCCAACTCAGCACTCACCAGAACGGATTCCGTTCCTGCACCAGCTCAGCACTGCGCTGTACCAGCCTGATGCTGTAGCGCAGTGACCACCACGCACAGCCGGAGCCGCCCGTCCCAGCCCCGCACTCACCGGCAGGGGCGTGAGCCGGCGGCACGTGACCGGTGCTCACCGGTACGGGCTCAGCTATGCCCAGCACTCACCGGCAGGGGCGTGAGCCGGCGGCACGTGACGGGTGCTCACCGGTACGGGCTCAGCTATGCCCAGCACTCACCGGCAGGGGCGTGAGCCGGCGACGCGTGACTGGTGTTCACCGGTACGGGCTCAGCTATGCCCAGCACTCACCGGCAGGGGCGTGAGCCGGCGGCACGTGACGGGTGCTCACCGGTACGGGCTCAGCTATGCCCAGCACTCACTGGCAGGGGCGTGAGCCGGCGACGCGTGACTGGTGTTCACCGGTACGGGCTCAGCTATGCCCAGCACTCACCGGCAGGGGCGTGAGCCGGCGGCACGTGACGGGTGCTCACTGGTACGGGCTCAGCTATGACCAGCACTCACCGGCAGGGGTGTGAGCCGGCGGCACATAGCCGGTGCTCACCGGTACGGGCTCAGCTATGCCCAGCACTCACCGGCAGGGGAGTGAGCCGGCGGCACGCAACCAGCGCTCACCGGTATGGGTTCAGCTATGTCCAACACTCACCTGTAGAGGTTCAGCTCGTGAGCGGAGGGCACGTGCCGGGCGGCCAGCTGTGCTGTGCTCTCTGCGCTGGCCGTGGCGTGGTAGGAGAGGCACTCCAGCGCCACACGCTGTTTGGCCATCAGCCGGCCTGGTGACGCAGTGCCGTGGTAGCGGACGGCGTCGACGGCCGCTCCGGCGCCAGAGCCAGTGGACAGCCCGGCTCTGGTGCCCTCCCGCACCGGCTTAAGCGCTTCCACGCCGCTGTTTTCAGTGGTAGCGTAGCTTTCCGGTTCGGAACAGCATCTAACAGGCTTTATTTTCTTTGCTGTTAAGTTTCCAAGCACGATACTCATAAACTTTGAGCGAGGTGATCCACCCAAAGTCCAGAAAAATCCGAGAACATTAACACGCGCTCGGGTGGCCGGCTGGATACCCTTCGTTCGGGTGGGGAGGGTCAATTTGATCCCCCCTGCGATCTCAGAAAGAAAAAAAGCTAGAGACACCAAATTTACAGAGTGTATTGACCTGTACGTGAACTCTCTTAGGTAAAAGTCTAAGCTTCCCAGGTCATTACCTTTTGGCCAAACAAGGTCAAACAAGGTCAAATTTCAGGTTGGTCTCCAAAGTGCCCCCAAAACCTAGGCAACTGTTTCTAAGCAGAGGGTGTCTAAGCCCATTTGAGGTCAGTGGCCTATTTTTACCTTTCGAAGGTTATGGTGACCATAAGCATACAAGACTGCTCCGAGTTTTGCATCTGAGTAAGCGACAAAGATTACACAAGGCAGCATGTTCCAAAAACAAATTGTCGACCCGGGTTAAGTTAGGCCAACGACGTTATCTGACCTCTTAGGAGTCAATGGAAGATGTATGATGCGGTTCCCGCTGTCAATAAACTTGAAATGAGCACTAGAAATTATCCCATACAGCAAGCACCAGAGCAATAAGCCAGGTTGGTTGTGACCTTGGCTTGACCTTCATACTTGACCTTAGGTCAGCGTAATCTGCGCATTCCATATTTTTGTTACCTAAGAAAGCATCTCAGAGATGTAGGACTTCGTCAAACGCTCCTTTGTTGTATCAGATTGGACGATTCCCTAAAATTGCCTTCGCTGAAACCATGGCCTGACTTTGGCCTGCCATAGGTTAGCGACCTTACAAGGTACATCTAAATGTTTGATGTCAAACGATTCGCCATTCAATTTCTACAGCTATGCAAAATTTGGCGCAGCTACGCCGCGGCGTTCTGAAAGCATTCTGGAAAAACCTTTGGGGGTCAACCTCACCCGAGCGCGTGTTAAGAATGTCAGAGATGTCCAGGTGCTTCTGAACGATGCAAACGATAAGAAAGCAACATTCAAACTGGGCTGAAACAACAAGAGCATATGCAACGCGGTCTGTTATGCTCCTTCAGGAGAAATGAGGTGGTGGCTTTGAAAGTGCATTAGTCTACTCCTTGCTTATTCACGAGGCAAGGATCGTTATGAAGGTATTTTTCCTTCTGCAAGAGCTGTGAGGTCACTTAGGCTTGTAATGATATCGTCATACAGAACCTATAGAAAAGCAACGGTCGCATTGTATGTGTATGCAGAATATTTCTGCACCTCTTGACTGTCATATGGAAGCCAAGAACTTAAGTTTAGGACATTAGTTAAGAATTTGGCTTTCTTTTGGTTGCTATTTGCGTGTTGTTCGCTCCTTGCGTTGCCTCTTGTCTTGCAAAGTCTTAGTTTCAACGTACTGACGAGTGAGGAGAGGGAAGCACCACGAGAAAAGTTCAAACCATCAATTTGATCCAAGCTGAAACTCAATTCTAGCAGAAAAATTAAGCTGAAATGGCAAAGAAGTGGCGAGGGGTGTTGTGCCATCATTTGTAGCTGGGGCCTTCCCATCATAAGTTGAATGCGTGCTCCCAAGAAGCAGGCATACAGGCCAGGCGTAATAGCAGTTGTGTGCCCGCTTCGTACGGTAAGCGGACGGCAAATAACAACCAAAAGCCAGCAGCAGGTGATGGAACAGGTTTCATAGCAATACCGGCCAGCACAATGCCCTCAGGTCAAAGTACGTCGACATTGAGTGATGCAGTTTTTCGGAAATGGGTGATACACCCGCTTTGAAAGGCAGGCCTATGAAGTGAAATCATGTTTTATCATGAGCCGAAAGCTCTTACCTTCAACCTTCGGTATACCGGTAGGTACTGGTTAAACAACGTTGTAGTGCTAAGAACGAGTATGAGACTTAATATTTCGAGCTGCAACCACCCTCCAGGGGATGAAGGTCACACGTCTCCTCACCATCGATACCGCCTCACATGATCGCATCGACTCATCTCATCGCCTCACCATCTCCGCTCTTAAGGATGAGCACAGCTCGAAATATTGAATACAGGCTATACCATCATTTCTAGCACTAAGACGCCGTTTAAGCGGCACCTCCTGGTATGTTCAAGGCTGTTAACAGATAGATTCATGAAATGCCGAAAGAACAGGAGCTAAAAACCTTCCTTTCTGTTATGAAAAGAAAGTGTGGTGAAAAACTACGAGATATATCGAAGATATTAACTGGCATCCTGCCGCAAAAGCATTGCTAGTGGTGATTCGGGTGTAGAAAACGCGGCTCTCCCTTAGCCTTGCTCGCGCTCACACCGTGACCATGGTCATATGCATGGATGGGGCGGGCTCCACGCTCCACGTGCTGCGAGACGGGAAGCAATAGGGGCGCGCCCAGCTGCCGTGCTCCCGGGTGTCGTAACAAGCGAACGTGCCCTCGAGGCCGGGGGGCGGGGGGCCACTGTGGGAAAGGTGGCGCGTGGGCGGGCCCCGGAGGATACCGTGTCGACCGCGCGCCTCCGGCTAACCAGGCTGATCACGGCCGGCTCGGCGGCCGGTCAAGTTTTCCGATCAATGCAGTGGGAGCTGCGACGCTCTGTGACCGATCGGTCGCTCCGGCTACGGCTCTGGTCTGGCGGCTCTGGCTTCGTCTCGGCTCGCGCGGCACAACAAGCAGGCCGGTAGAGCCGCCTCGGCTCCACAGACAATGGAGCCGGCGAGGCTGACAGGCTCACCACGCATGACCCAGCCAACGTGGCAGCGCGAGACGCGGCACGTGGGTGAGATGGGGCGGTTAATGCCCGAAGCAAGCTGTCCACCACCGAGCAGAAGATGAGTGGGGCTCACGGCCATTCTAATCCGCATTTTCCATGCACCCATGTAGGACTAACGACAGATTTCCTTAAACCTTGGCGACCAGTCCTCACGACCCGCATGATAATGTTAGTGTTCCGCGGCCGTGGGGAACACCGACGACACAACAGGCAGAGGACGGGGGGGGGGGGGGAGTTAGGACTGGGCACACACGTGGGTGGGGCGCGGTGGGGGAGGCTCACGAGCACCTCGATCAATGCCGTTGGATCCGTGACGTCTGTGGATGGAGCAGGTGGATGGAGAGCGGCTCCACGCTCGGCGAATCAGGGGCAAGGGTAGAGGGGGCTCACGGCACGGTGCGGAAAATGGACGGCGGCTAACTCAGAGCCCGGGAGCTGTGGAGGCTGGGTAGTCGCCACAGATGGCGGCTCACAGCCCATCTGTGGGGAGTGTGCGGGACACGACAACGCACCCCACGCACGGAGGCGGCTCAAAACGGCATAGTCAGCAGTTCTTTCCTTCGGGCCCACTTTGTGAAGCTGGCTTGGCTTGGCTTGCTTAAGCGACGTTCGATTAAGAAGTCAATGTCTTTTGCTGTTTTTTTAGGGGTCAGCAATAAATGACGTAACCGGCGAAGGAAGGACTGGACGAACAGCTAGGGTGGTGCTTACATAACACATCGGAGCACTGTAAGCATCTGTGGCCATCCAATGGCTTATATTGTTGTTGGGAAACTTTCAGACTTTTTTAAATCTCACAAAATTTTTCTTCCAATTTTCTTCGACTTACGTCTTGCAAAGCAATTATGAGCGCCTTGCCAGATGCGTAACACGTCTCTGCTTTCAAACATGTTAAATGTGTCTTATTTTCCAGAGCTGTGTTTATGTCGTGAAATGACGGGTCAAATTGTCAAAAGACGGCGTAAAGTTTGCATCACTGGCAGTATCTATGTTACGACGTGACAATCTGATAACAAGGTACAAAACGTCAGTTGATGAGCTAACGAGGTCTCCAGTGCCTCAGCTGCGCAATCTGGCGGTGGCCATCGCCCTCGCTCCTTTCTAGAATGGTGGAATGGACTACTCACAAGCGTGCTCGTACATCTGGCTGTTGTGGATGCCAAGCCCACAGAACACGCCGAATGTTTCCACTGCGCGGAGGTCCTGATCGGTGAAGCCATGACCGTTCTCCTGGGGAAGAGTGAACGGGCATCACAAATGCTCAGACCCGCTCACCACACACCATGGCCTACACCTCTCATCCTGAGAAGAGCGAAGGAGCGTCACAAGTGCTCAGATCCGCTTACCATACACCATGGCGTACACCTCGGATCCTGAGAAGAGCGAACGAGCGTCACAAGTTCTCAGACCTGCTTACCACACACCATGGTATACACCATGATCCTAATAAGAGCGAACGAGCGTCACAAATGCTCAGATCCGCTTACCACATACCATGGTGTACACCTTGGATCCTGAGAAGAGCGAACGAGCGTCACAAATCCTCAGACCCGCTCACGACACACAATGGTATACACCGTGATCCTGAGAAGAGCGAACGAGAGTCACAGATACTCAGACCCGCTCACCACACACCATGGTATTCACTGTGATCCTGAGAAGAGCGAACGAGAGTCATAAATACTCAGACCCGCTCACCACATACCATGGTATACACCGTGATCCTGAGAAGAGTGAACGAAAGTCATAAATGCTCAGACCGGCTTACCACACACCATGGTATGCACCGCGATCCTGTTTTGTCATTCATTCCAAAGTGAGCAGAAAGCTGGCGGCATGAGGTGGTCTATGCCTACTGCGTCATACCAATCTGGTCGTATGGCTGAGTGCCGCGCTCAGTGGCCGCGGAAAGGCAGCAGGTCGCCATATCTTTAAAGCCCCGCCTTGTTGCGCCTAGGCCCGAAAATCCATTTATTTTCAGTGCACGTTCCGGTGGGAATCGAGTCCCATCTTTCATTTTGAGTCGCGTCCATCATTGGTTGCACTGAAAGATTACAGCGCAAAAGATCGCAGGGCATATGGTGGCATAAAAAGTCGTGAGCAAAAAATAAAAGATCACAAGTGCAATGTTCTTTCTAAAAAACATTGCACGCAAATGGTTACATGAAAAAGATCGCAAGTGAACTGTTGTGAGGGATGTGGTTAGTCGGGAAAATGCCTTCTTGTTTAAGCTCCATATTGATTAAGTAAGTTCAAGTTCAATATTTAATTTTGGAGGCTGGAAACTTTGGTCCACCACTTATTTGACACTCATTGAACTTCGCGCCCAGTGCACCAAAGGTGAGTGGCATCTCCGGCAAAGCGTGTGTGAAACAGTGCACGATATGGTATGGATTATGGACCGATGCCAGGCCAGCTTCATATCATCCGTCAAATCAGTCATCCAAGCGGACTATTAAGGCCGCTTTTCATCACCTCTGAATGGTTGTGAGTCGAGAGAGCTGATTTTTAGAAATCTGCACGCATCCCGGCATTGATGGCAAGCTTTCGTCACAGGACGGATGTCTTCGGAGTGCAGGTGTCAAGCACGGAATTTAACGTCTGGCTCCAGTTGCATTATGCGCTGGCGCTGGCCTCTGGCCATGGCTAGGGGTGTGGAGACAGGGGGGGGGGGGGGGGGGGGGCAGTGTGTCATGCCTCCACTTTTCAAGGTGGGCATAGGTGTAGGAACGTTTCAAAAAGTGGGGGGCAGGCTCAGGGTGTACTTAAGGAACTTTTTCTGGAAAACAAACCCGACGAACTGGGTGTGGGGGGGGGGGCTAAGGGATAGAGATGGAGGTTATCGCTCTTCATTCAAATGTAATGACTTCTATCCTAGGTATGCTTTTAGAGCTGTTTCTCACTGATGCACACTTTTGCCTATCCGACTCATCATTGTCACTCGGGAACTAAGACCATCTAGCTTCCCAAGATAATTTGTCCATTTCAACGTTGTCTTTCCTGGGAAGCCGAAATTCCACGAGCGGGTAGGGATTTTGGGTTATTGAGGAGGCATCTGTCTCCACAGGGTAGATGCCAAAATACGGCCTGAGCGTAGGCTGGCGAGAAATTTGAAAGTAAATCGATGGCTCACATTGCGACGGATTTTTCACGCGCCTTCATTTCGCTGGGTGCTTTCAAGAGATAACACTTTGCGAGGCATTTTAGGCGGAAGCAAATTCGGATCTTGAAATCGTCAAAAACCACGTGACCAAAGCCATAGAACTGGAGATTCTCCTTTGAAAACCTAGCCACAGAATAAAAGCCATCCTGTAATATATTCCTTGTCTGAGCACTGCTCCCGTCCGCCGTCGGTGACCACTGTCCTGGCCCGGCTGTCTCGGAATGACTGACCCCGAACTGATGGTATGCCTGCTTTGTTACACATTTCTGGATCAGCATTGCTGCTATTTGAGATGCAAAACATGTGCTGGATACCTGCAACCGTACCCTTTCCCAAGTTATATTCCCTTACACCACGCCACCCCAGAAAAATGCTGCCGGGAAGCTGCCTACTTTAGGTATGAATTGGCCCAACGGGCACTTGACTGCCGTCATTCAACGTAGATGACTTGATCTGCTTTTGTGTGCAGGCAGGAGTAGCCAGAGCCTTGCTGAGAGGAACACAAGGTTGACAAAAGCCTCCTTTATGGTGATCCCCCACAAAAAGATGTCCCCGGATACAGTTTACTTATTAACAAGGGATACGGTTTTCTTCGTTTCATTGTTACTTTACGTTGTAACCAGAACACAAACCAGAAGCTACCGCGAAATCAATTCTGTTCAAATTTTTAACACGCGCCCGGGTGGCAGGCTAGATAGGAGGCGCCCGGGTGGCAGGCCGGATACCCTTCGTTCCGGTAGGAGGTCAATTGGATCTCCCGAGATCTCGGAAACTAAGAGAGCTAGGGACACCAAGTTTACAAGGTGTGTTGACCTGTACGCGAACTCACTTAGGTCAAAGTTCGAGATTCGTAGGTCACGACTTTTAGGTCAAATAAGGTCAAACAACTTTAAATTCCAGGTTGGTCTCTGAAGTGCCCCCAGAACCTAGATAACTGTTTCTAAGCACAAGTTCACATGTTAATTTAAGGTCAGTAACCTTGTTTGACCTGTTGAAGGTAATGGTGACCAAAATCATGCAAGACTGCTTTGAGATTTGCATTTTAATAAGCGACATAGATTACGACAGGCAGTATGCTTCTAAAACAAAATATTGACCTAGGCCAATTTAGGTCAATGATCTATTCTGAACTCTCAGAAGTCGATGGAAGATGCATAATGTGGTTCCTGCTATCAGCAAATTCGAAAGGAGCACGAGAAACTATCCCATACAACAAGCCCCAGAGTAATAAAACAGCCGGTTTTGGCCCTGGTCTGACCTTTTGACCTGACCTTAGGTCAAAGTAATTTGCTCATTCAATATTTGTGTTGCCTAAGAAAGCATCTCAGAGATGCATGGCTTCGTCTAACAGTCAACTGTTGCATCTGATTGAACGATTCCCTACAAGCTGACTTCGCTGAAACCATGACCTGACTTTGACCTGGTCAGCGACCTTACAAATAACATCTAATTTGTTGTGCCAAACGATCTGACATTTAATTATATACAGATGTGCAATACATGGTGCGGCTGCTCCGCACCGTTCGGAAGCCATTCTGGAAAAAACTTTGAGGGGCGAGTCAATTTGACCCCTACCCGAGTGCGTGTCAAGGTCAATAAACTGCAGAAATCAGTCGTTTAACGACCGTATGGAATAAATCACCCGCGTCCTTAAGGTGCCATTCCTTAGTGGACTCTTTCTAAACCGATAGAACTCAGAAGCTTTTTTATTATGTTTTATCATAGTCCTACAAACATTGATGACATAGCGAAGGTAGATCGTAGATCGATATGTTTGATCGAAATTTAAGGATGAAAATTTGTATTGTAAATCGAGCGGTCAACAATGTGTATTAGCACCGCCCAGCCATGTTTGTCTGGAAATGTTTAACATTCAGTCAGAATCGATTAAAGGTGCACTTTATATGACGTAGTTTTTAACATGTGCGCTCGCAAATCTTAGCAACAAAAACCTCAATGCTAGGCGTTGTAGTCTCCATAGTCCGCGGAGCGCTAGTTTAGTGGTTAACTTTTCGTTATGGCCCACCGGTGGACAAAAATGATAACGGCTCTGAAAATTACCTTTAAACACTTTAATCGGCTAGTAATAAAAGTTATGTGACAAAATTTTGAGCATGCGTACTCGCAAATCTTAGTTTATATTCATCCCGGCGCCAGGCGTTGCAGTCTCCGTAGGCCGCGCAGCGTCGGCTCAAACGCTAATATTGAGTCGTGGCCAGCTGGTGGAAGAACATGATGACGCTTCTGAAAGAATTACCTTTGAATGCTTCAGGACATCAATTCTTACATCTACAAGGCAGTCTGGGTGCGTATTTCAACAATGCTATTTTTAGACTGATGATAAGAACAGGTTGGCCCTTAAAGAATCATGAAGTGGTGCTGGAACCTAGTGGTGGAACTGGAAGAGTAAAGGTAGACTCTCTATTTTTCGTGTTTCTATAACTATTAACACGCGCCCGGGTGGCTGGCTGGATACCCTTCGCTCGGGTGTGGGGAGGGGTCAATTTGACACCCTGGGATCTCGGGAACTAAAGCAGCTAGGGACACCAAAATTTACAGGGTTTGTTGACCTGTGCGTGAACTCACTTTGGTCCAAGGTTCGGGTTTCTAGGTCATGACCTTCGAGTCAAATGAGGTCAAGCAAGGTCAAATTCCAGAAGACAGATTAACAGAAGACAGAAGGTCTGTCCAGAGGACAGAATGACACGGCGCCCACCGTCTGGTTGCACTTGCAGTGGCCGACGCCGTTCGGTTTTTCGGAAGCTGCGACACAGGCCATCGCTGGCCTTGCTGTCGAGGTTGCTGGCGGGCATGTTCAAACCTTTTGATGCACTCTTTCACCAATCCATTTTGAAAAAAGTGAACTTTCCTAGGCAAAAACGGGATGGCCTTGTTTGTCTTTTTTGATTCATTTCGACATACTCTATTCAACAATATTGAGACCCTCACTCTACTCAAAAATAATGAGACCCCTTATTTTATTCCCGGCAAGAGACTCTTTGAGTAGAGCACCAAGGGCACAATGCCGGTTCCGGTCAAGAGATGAATGGCCACTCCGTTCCATCGCGAAGCGTCTTCTGGCTGTCATTCTAGCGATCGAGGCGGGATCTCTTGGTCGATCCGGACACCATTGGAAGGATATATCATATCACATTGTTCCCCTCCCTGATACCGGAGGCTTCTGATCCTCGCGGTTGGCCCCGGATCAGCACAGGAACCCTCATTGACGCAACAACATCCCTGGTGGCCAAAGGTGGTTAATAATTGTCACACAAGCTCCAGTTCCATGTTTTTTTTGTTTTCTTCAGATATATTGAGGAATTCCTGAACGTAGACTGTAGATAAAATGAGGTCCTAAGCTTGTAACTAACTTGTAATTAAAAACTATGTAATATGGTTTTGAACGTACGCGCTCGCAAGTCATAGCAACAACAGTCTGAGCGCCCGGCGTTGCGGTTTCCATAGCTCGTGCGGCGTCGGCCTGCGGCTGGGATACTAAGCGATGGCCAATAAGCAAACGAAAAAGATAACCCATCTTAAGGAAGGTGGTTCGCGAACTAGACAAATCGGCATGTATATTCAAATGTGGTGCAAACGTAAGCTAAACAGGACTTTAATTTGAAAAGTGGGGCCAGTTAACACTGCTGCCCTCCCCCCTACCTTGAAAAGTGGGGAATCATGGCCCCCCTGGCCCCCCTGTTGCTACGTTCATGAAAGTGGGGGTCAGCAATGTTACCTGTCCCCCTCCCATTTCTCCGATTTAGGTTGCGGTTAGCTTACCTTTGCAGTATTTGGGACGTGCATGCCGTTTTACATGGTAGACCAGCCATCTTCCTCAACATGCGTCATTGTTTTTCGTTTGCTCATTGGCCGTGACTTAATGTCACAGCCTCGTGGTCGACGTGTGGTTAATATTTGCGAGCGCGCATGCTCAAAACCTTGTAATACAAGTTTTCTCAGTAATCAATTCTGACTGAATGTTGCGCACTTCAAAACGAACATGGGTTAGCCATGTCAATGCAAATTTGGAAATCCATTTCGGTCCACAATATACGTTCAGGGGTCCTCGATATATCTGAAGGGCACGGAAAAATATGGAATTGAAGTTCATTTGACATTGATTGGACCACCTGCGGCGATCAGAGATGTTAGATCACTGGGGTGCCTGTGCTGATCCGGGAGCAGCTGCACCCGTCAGAAGGCCCCCCGCGTCGGGGAAGGCAAACGTGATGTGATGTACCGCTCTAAAGGCCTCCGGCCAGTGGTTTCCGTCCCGTGACGCCAGAACGACAGCCGAAAGATACCCGGCAATGGGACGGAAAGGCCCTTCAGCACTCGACCGGGGACCGTAATGTGCCCTTAGCGTTTTACTCAATGGGCCCCTTGCCAGGAAGGAAATAGGGGCTCTCATAATTGCTGAATGAAACACTTCGAAATACACTCAAAAACGAATAAGGTCATTGCATGCGTGCCTGAGAGCATTCATTCTTCGCAGAACCGATTAGTGAAACAAATCCGATCACAAGGTTTAAACATGCGCACTCACAATCTCGTGAGCAAGAATAGCGATGGCCTGGGGTGCAGCTTCGTAAAACCGAACGGTGTTGGCCATTGCAAGGGACACCAGGCGGCGGGTGCTGTGTTTGTCTTTCCTCGGGATCGAGCTTTCTATGGCTCTGCTTTCAGAAGCGTCATCCTTTCGTCCACCGGTTGGCCGCCGCTCAACGCTCACCGCTCGGTCGACGCTGCGCGGCTTAACGAGACTGCCACGCCTGGCGTCGAGGCTTTTGCTACTAAGATTTATGAACGTGCATGTTCAAAGCTACGTTACATAATTTGTACCACTAATCGATTCTGACTGAATGCTGAAAATTTCCGAGAATGAATGGCTTGACAATGCCAACAGACACTGCCAACCCACTTATATCTACAATCTGTTTTCGCGGGGTCCTTAATGTCTACAAAAAGTCTGAGAAAGCTTCTGACTTTATCGGTTTAAAAAAGTCCACTGAACCCCTGTCCACTGTCCACTGAACCATGAGAGGGCGCCAGTAGTCTATTCCATGGATTTCAACGTCTGATTTCTGCAGTTAATCGACTTTTAAAATGCAGACAGAAGTGACCTCGTGGCAGCTTCTGGTTTCTGTTTACGTCTGGTTACAAGGTAAAAATAACGATGAAGCAGAGAAGACTGTGTCCCTCGCTCACAACAGAGCTATATCTGGCAATTTTGAGGGGCTCACCACAGGGGGATTTTGTCAACCCTGTGCCCCCACGCCCTCCTCGCAAGACTGTGGCTACGCCCCTGCCTACATACAAAAGATAAAGTCGGCTATGCTAATTGGTGGGGAATTGAATGTCCGTTGGACCAATATATGCTTAAGGCAGGCAGCTTGCAGTCGATTTTTTGCGGTAGTGTGGCGTAAGGGAATATGATTCGGAAGAGATATTGTGGCGGGTGTCCAATATAGGTTTGCATACCAAAAGGTAGAAATCTTGAAAAAGGAAAAAATATTTATCCAAAAATATGCAGCAAAGCAGCCATGCGATCAGTTTGCAGTCAGCCACGCAGGGTACAGCCGGATCATGGCTGTGGCCGCCGGCGGCGGACGGGAGCAGAGCTCGTGGAAGGAATATCTGACAGAATGGAGCTAATTCTGTGACTTTGTTGTTACAGGAGGGTCTCAAGTTTATGGTTTTTGTCACCTTGTTTTTGGCTGTTAGTGTTTGATGCTTCCAATTTTGTTTCCGCCTAAAATGCTGCGTCAAGTCTTATCTCTTGAAAAGCTGTCAGCGAATTCACCAGTCAATGTCGAGATCGTCTTTTGGCATCTACCTGTGGAGAGAGATGCCTTCTCAAAAACCAAAAAATATAAATGATGCCTACACGTAATCTGCACAAGCGCGTAGATTTTCGCCTGTCCATGTGAAACAATTCTGAAATGGACGAATAATCTTGGGAAGCTGGATGGCCTTATTTGCCGAATGATATAACTGAGTTGAACAGGCAAGATTGTGCACCAGTGATAGAAAAACTGTTGATGTATATCTGGCATGGCAGCTAGCAGTTTCAATTATTTTTAAGATATGCTATGTAAATTAAGAAGGGAAAATAACATCCATCTTTAAGCCCACTCTCCCGGTCGCCGGGCCTGCTTCCCAAAAAAGGTTTCTGAAGTATAACTCAAGCCTGCTCCCCCCCCCCCCCCTCCTCCAAAGCACACACATTTTGAAACGTTCCTACGCCTATATCCATGGGCATGTATTCAAAGTTGTCTCTGCGTTAGCGTTGGTGGCGCCACCGTTTGTCAGTCAGGCCCGGTGGCCTTCCTGAGAGATCGCACACAGGAGCCGAAGCCGTCAGTGCGTCCCTCATCCTGTGCGATCTTTGCCCGTATGAACTTTGTCCCTCACAAGCTTTCGCCATTGTGACCTTTGTCCCTTAAAGGTTTTAACGCCAGTCGTTTTCATGATGGATTTATTACCTGAAAAGTCCTTAACATATTTTTTGCATTAAGTTGTGATATGTACTTAACACTTATCCAATGAAATGGTTGTTTTAATGCAATACATTGAGTTTAACGTCTAACATTTATGAACACTGTAAACAATGCTTGTCGTGGTTTAGAATATGACTAAGCTGACAATACGAATCGAAGCTATTTATAGCTTCATTTCATGCCTTTAGCTTATCAAAATTCTATGAAAGTACCAGGTCTGGCAATCGGTCGTGTTAATTGCACGAGAGAACCGGATGCTGGCCACGTCATTGTTGCTCACATCCGGGCCGTTGGAATAAGCTGCGTTTTGGGGATCATTTAATTCAGGGATTATTCCTCGTGTGCCCTGTTGGTAGGCAAGCGAACTCTGTAAGAACTGCATACCTATGAAAACGGACGAGGCCAGGACAAAGGAGTTTGTTGTTTTTTTTTCGCGTCTGCGTCAGACATGCCAACGGGTCATTTCAACAAGTTTTGAAAAGTCTCGGTACGAAAAGATTTAACATGATTACCTCCCGCATAAGCGTGATCTTGCTTAGATTCAACACATTGGAATCATGTCAACATATACACCTTTCCAACAAGCTTTTCATATGTACACAAAACATTTCCAGCGGAAAATGGCCTATCAAATATGTGTTTGTTACTGTGGTTGTGATGTAATGATGCGATTCCCAATGAAATATACGCTTAAAAACTAAAAGCAACAACAAAGAAGCAAACGAATTATTGAAAAGTCTGTACTGTAATCCGTGATGCAAACGGCTTTTACATTTTTTTTCACACGAAATCCTTTTTCCTCATGACTTTTATTCTGTATCATCTTTTAACACGCAATCTCAATCCAAATGATCCTCATCACCTGTCATCCGCTGGCGATCCTCATGCCGTCCGAATGTTTGCCATGCCTTGTGGTGCCGCCCGATATGTTGTCATATGATCTGTTGCCTGATTACCCGACTGAGACCGTTGTCAATACGGCGTGCCACGGCGGCGTGCTGCTTCGTGTCGTATGGCGTTGCCCGCGCCGGCCGACGCACCTTGTTGATGAAGTGGGCCACGCCGATAGTGACGTGGCTCTGGTTGTGTATTGGGATGGTGAGCACGGACCGTGCCGCGGCGCTCCGCTCCTCCCGCCGCCAGCGCACGTCACAGTTGTCGGTGCCTTCCTCCGAACTGCAGATCGTCTGCGAGGTAGAGACGCGGCTCGCTCAGTACGCCGCCGCACAGGGCGGTACTACCCCCCCCCCCCCCGCTCTCTTCTCCTGCCACGCCATCCGCCTAATGGTGTGGCTCAATCGCTGGATTGTTTATGGCTCACGGAAGTGCTCTGGTCATTGAGGTCGCGGCCCGCCCCGTCTGTTATGCTGCAAGGCTCTCCGGATAATGGTGCACCGGAGGCGCCTGGAACGTTGCTTTCTAGTAAGCCGCCACCGACGCGATGCTAGGCAGCGTCCAGAGACCCCCACTGATGAGTCTCCCATGTCAAGAAAATGTGCTGAATCGGCTCAAGGTAGTTTTTGTACTTACTGACCGTGCGCAGCCGGAGCCACGGGGGCGGGAGTCAGCGTGGTATAAGCTGACCGATCAACGCATTCTCGAAACCAGTGCGGCGGTTGGTGCGTGCAGGCGGCGACTGGTCATGTCTTAGACTTGCCGAGCCTTCCAAGATTTCAGACTTTGCAGAACGGTATATACCATACGATTAGAATCAAATTCAGCGCGCTGTTGTTGGGCAGCATCGAATGTGCGTGGGTGACTGGAAGCTCGTGAGCAGTTCTCCCGACCCAGCCATCGGAGCAGGTCCCTTGTATCTCTTACCTCACTGGCCTCAGCGACCTGGGGGCTTCTCTAATACCTACCTCACCCGTCTCGGGGACCCGGGCGCATCTCTACTGCCTACCTCACCTGTCTCGCGGACCGAGGGGCTTCTCTAATGACTACTCTGCCGATCTCGGAGCCCGGAGGCTTCTCTTATATCTACCTCACCCGTCTCCATGACCCGGGGGGCTCTCAAATACCTACTTCACCTGTCTCGGGGACCCGGAGGCTTTCGTGATACTTACCGCACTGATCCAGCGAGTTCTCCGAAGAGTTCTATAATACTTACCTCGCCGGTGTCTCGGGACTTGGAGTCTTTTCTGTCATCTGCGCTGCCGCTCTCAGGGATCCAGACGCCCCTGACACCTACCTCGCCGGTGTCGAGGACCCGGAGCGCCACGTCGTGCAGAGCCAGGTGCCGGAATTCGGCCTCCCTCAGTGTGCGGAGCGTGTGGCCGCCTCCAGTCTCTTTCGTCAGGGTGAAACACTGGTGGAACCCGGCCTGCGGCATGGCACTGGTCGGTGACGGGAACCCGGCCTGCGGCATGGCACTGATCGGTGACAGCCTGCGGCATGGCACTGGTCGGTGACGGGAACCCGGCCTGCGGCATGGCGCTGACCGGTAACGGCCTGCGGCATGGCACTGACCGGTGACAGCCTGCGGCATGGCACTGGTCGGTGACGGGAACCTGGCCTGCGGCATGGCGCTGATCGGTGACGGCCTGCGGCATGGCGCTGATCGGTGACGGCCTGCGGCATGGCGCTGATCGGTAACGGCCTGCGGCATGGCACTGGTCGGTGACGGGAACCTGGCCTGCGGCATGGCGCTGATCGGTGACGACCTGCGGCATGGCGCTGATCGGTGACGGCCTGCGGCATGGCGCTGATCGGTAACGGCCTGCGGCATGGCACTGACCGGTGACGGCCTGCGGCATGGCACTGGTCGGTGACGGGCTGCGCAAGTCAGCGCTACGCACCTTTCCTGTCTGTACCCGAAAGTAATGAAACAAATGCAATAAAGTCTAAGGTGAAGGTCAAACTAAATCATAGGCATATTGATTAGGCACCAGTGATGTTCGTTTCCTTATATAATTACTTCAGAACGTCATATTACGTATTTGGTGGCCTCTATTGGGAAATGAATGGTAACGGAGTCATAGTAGCTGGAAATGTGAACCTGACTGTTTTATAACGACTGACTACAATTTTGGCGCATGTCTCTCCAAAGCCCGCTGCCTGCAACACCCGCACCCGTCAGCCAACGCGCGTCGACGACTGCCGCCGCTGACGAACCTCGGCGACGGCGATCCGTCGGAATGGCGAGTCGTCAACGAAAGTAAACGGACGCACACGGGCGCGGCGAGCTGCGGTCTCCGTATGGAAGTCAGACGCGTGTAGTGCTACTCGGGGCTGAAAGTTCGTAACAATACAATTTCCCTTGTGAAGAGCTTTTGCGTCGGTTTCCTATGCCGGGGAGCGCAGCGGGAATGGAGCCGTGGCGGCTCGGCTGGCCCCTGGCCCTGGTCGGCAGCATACCTGGTCCTCGGCTGGCCCCTGGCCCTGGTCGGCAGCATACCTGGACCTCGGCTGGCCCCTGGCCCTGGTCGGCAGCATACCTGGTCCTCGGCTGGCCCCTGGCCCTGGTCGGCAGCATACCTGGTCCTCGGCTGGCCCCTGGCCCTGGTCGGCAGCACACCTGGTCCTCGGCTGGCCCCTGGCCCTGGTCGGCAGCATACCTGGTCCTCGGCTGGCCCCTGGCCCTGGTCGGCAGCATACTTGGTCCTCGGCTGGCCCCTGGCCCTGGTTGGCAGCATACCTGGTCCTCGGCTGGCCCCTGGCCCTGGTCCGCAGCATACCTGGTCCGAGTGGCCGCTCTCCCGGGAGGTGGCGCGCGAGCGGTGCTCGCCGCTGGATAGCTGGTCTGCCGACCGGACCGCGCTGCCCAGGGACCGCTCGGTCCTGCACGCCACCTGGTGCGAGGGCACAGACCGACGCCATGTGTAACATAGTATGAAGTCAACGTGAGAACAATGGCGGGGAGGGGCTTCGGGCTTAAACAATGCGGTCTACGAGAGGTCATCTTTGGTAGAGGTGCGATTTCCCACACATAAAAGCCAACGCAAAGCACGACAAGATTAGTTTTGAAGGTGACCTGTGTTATCTCGGGAAGTCAAATGCTTTACACTTCATGGTTTGAGGAAATGAATTGGTGGATCTTCACTATATTAACCACACACTATCCCAAGAGTTGGCTTGGGCGGGGCGTCCGCATCCCCTTGCTTTGCAAATAACGCTGGGTACAAACGTGTTGTAAGTTTGAAATTGTGTGTATTCCTCAGTACAAGAATTACACAAGCTGTGCCAAAAAATTGCCATTTATTTCATCTCAGGTGAATTTAATGTCAAGAGTGTGTGACGGTGTAGAACATCTGGTTACCGATCTCGCCTCGTACCCATGCACGTTTTCTTGGTACTGACGCTTCCTCACAAGTTATGACTCATGGTGGGCAAATGAGCTTAGGTAACATTCTAGGCCATCTTAGGTCAAGCTGCAACGTAGCGTATCGCTTCCGGTACATCTTATATGTTTTTATAGAGCATTCCACCTATTTCATCAATGTGTACTTAATGCCCAAACAGAATTAACCATGCGACTTGTTGCACTTTTGCTCAGGCGCCTGATGTTAATATGAGTGGACCTGCTCAAACTCACTTAACGTACGTACGTTGGTGATGACGCCCCCTCCCCCACCCTCACCCCGTCCTCAAATTATTTTGGTATCTTGGTTTTACCAAGCGATGATTGTTTAGTTCGCATCGTATATGCAACATTTCAGCTCTATGATAAATTCTTTGAAAGCCGAGTGTTAAATAATTATTCTCGCTGGTATTGAAGCAATGGTATACATGAGCTCGCCTGAAATCAAAACAATGTTCATGCTTTCGTTGCTCTGTATTTATTGTCGTTGATATGCGCATTTTGAAATTACATGTTTATGTTTGCCCTGGCAAGACAAAATTGAGGAGCATTGCTGGAAGACTCACTGTTAAGTCACAAATGTCGTGAGGTTCTCATATGACGCCTAGCTGTTTGCGCTTGCTTACCTCGTCGTGCTGGTCCTCGCGCAGGAACACTGCGGCTTGTTCGCAGTGCAGCAGGTCTATCGCCTCCCGCATTATCTGCTGCACCAAGTTTTCCAGGCTGGACTGCTCTTCAAAAATGCCTCGAGCAAGATTCAGCAGAATCTGCCCGATCAAGCTCGGTGAAACACCTGCTGATGCGGATAGCTAGCACTGATCGCACCAGCCTCACTGTCACGCATTAAGAGCGCGCCGTTAGTCACATTGCTTGTACAAAATACTAAATGAAATTGGCTTTTAGCTGGACGTATGCTACCCCAAACAGGCTGGTACACCAGTGAGCTGCCATGGTATCATGAGGAATCCCTGTAAGCCCTGCGGCAGATAGGGGACAGAACAAATTTCACAGGCCGTCTTTAGCAAACAGTGCACGCACGCAGACCGCAGCGGAATATGGCGGTTTTGCCAGCGGAAGCGTCAATAATCAGTGCCAGTCGGTGTAGGATGGCGTGTTTCCAGGTGGCTTTCACCAAACAAGGTGTATGTTATAATATAAATATCCTTCCTTCCAGTAGCAGGGCTTCAAATCATTCCAGAACTCTTCATTTACATGGCCTCTCGTTTCTTGTAGCGACAGGAGCCTCCTGTCATACTATGGCCCCCATTATCCCAGACTGTTGCGTCACGTAGTTTCGTCTTTCATCGTGGGCGCCCTCTGCCGCGAAGCCTGTCCCAGCTATCAAATATGCTGATCATATTCGTCGTGTGTGCTGTGCATTGTACCATGGCTTTGAGGATGACAGTTTTGTTAACTGCCTTGGCATCCTGCTGTTCGTTAAGGGGGCCTCCTGTCGAGAGCCCCAGCAGTAAACGCTATGTTTACCACAGATCGCAGGATGTGACCAATGGTTATGTGTGAGCTTATATATATATATATATATATATATATATATATATATATATATAAAGGCTTTCTCACATATCAGTTTTTCTCATTCCCTAACGAGAAATTCTAAGCTGTCACAGCATCCACTCTTTCACAAGTGCCTCCGTTGAGTTGACTGCCGTCGCTCATAATGTGAGCTTCCTGTCTCACCATTGTTCCGACTTTCTGAGACGCGTACCTGACCTGTGCTGGGCTTTATGTTGTCCATGGAGGTGAGAGCTTCCCTCCTGTCATTCCATGCCTTTGGGTCATTTCTTGGGCTGCCCATATACCGCTAGGTCCTCTCTCTGTCTTCAGAGGAGGCTCCCTCTCACCTTTCCATGGCTCTTTTCCATCGAAAGTTCCACGTTACCACGTTTCTCCTCGCTTCGAACAGCGTCTCCCACTATGCATGCCACAACTATACAGCCCTCAGACGAAAGGCTTCTCTCGGTGGCGACAGAGATCTCTTGCCGTCCACAGTTTCTCACCGATCTTGATATCACTCTGACCTTCCCGGCCTCAAGATAGGGCCTCTCGTCCTGGATTGGCCCGATCTCCAGACCACTCTGGCCTTCCCGGCTTCAGGACAGGGCCTCCCGTCCTGGATCGGCCTGATCTCGAGATCACTCTGGCCTTCCCGGCTTCAGGACAGGTCCTCTCGTCCTGGATCGGCCCGATCTCCAGACCACTCTGGCCTTCCCGCCTTCAGGACAGGGCCTCCCGTCCTGGATCGGCCCGATCTCCAGATCACTCCGGCCTTCCCGGCTTCAGGACAGATCCTCTCGTCCTGGATCGGCCCGATCTCCAGATCACTCCGGCCTTCCCGGCTTCAGGACAGGGCCTCCCGTCATGGATCGGCCCGATCTCCAGATCACTCCGGCCTTCCCGGCGTCAGGACAGGTCCTCTCGTCCTGGATCGGCCCGATCTCCAGACCACTCTGGCCTTCCCGGCTTCAGGACGAGGCCTCCCGTCCTGGATTACCGCTGGACAATTTTATGTCCCTGTATGACTGAAGTCTTCTCTCCGTCATGACACGACCCTCATTTCAGCTGTGACATGACGTGACATGACATTACCAGCCACGCATCCCATATTACCACACATGCCTGTGTACATGACGCCAAATTGGGCCGCCACCGACAGCTGATTACGGTCGTCACGAGCTAATTTGCACCTGGTTCCCTTTACAGAAATCCACTCCCACATTTTCTCACATGGCATGCAGTTGATTGCGCCTCTGCCTCCGGGCGCCACTATAGAACTCTAGGTTGATTTTGCTCCTAACACAAGGCGATGTGGTTCAGTTTCGGAACCAGTGCCGATGAGCCCTACTGCAGCGATGGCAGGCTGGTGTGCAACCCGCTTTAGAGCCTCCTGGAAGACGACGCACGCTATATACGGTGGACAGCTCTATATGAGTCAGCTACATTTGTTGTACAAGTACGCCGACGGATCATTAGTCCATGTCATTCTGTTGCCGGCATTTCCCTTCGGGCGGTTTTTCACCGATTTGGCCGGCAACTCAGGCGGACAAACGCAGTTGCTCAGACTTATCAATTCCGCACCGGTTCGATGCTAATCTAATCCATTACGGGGTCGATTACGTTAGCAGTCGTCTGTGCAGCCGCCTGCGGTTCGATGTGTGCTGTGCCGCAATACTGGCGAAGGCAGGCGGACGTTCGGCTTGACAGCTCCTGACAAACGCTGACCACTTTAGAGAGCGAGTTTGTGACTAGCCATGCTTTCTAAGTGGTTGGAAAGTGGACGCAGAGTGAGGATGACTTGATATTAGCTCGCGCGTTTATCGTGTGTGAGCAAAACGCTTCTCGCAACAAGTGGAGATTCGGGGGGAGTATTCGGCCACCTCCAGCAAACCACGACACTTTTGGGGTCACTGATCGAATTGCTTCAGTAATATGATTGCTTTCGAATATTTGGCAGAATAAGTCTGCTTTTGAGGACCAGTGGACCAGGTCAAAATCATTGAGACATGAAACAGCATATTCAGAAAAATAGCTATTGGATACCATGGGATTATTTGCGATGAAGCATTACATAGAGTACAAAACCTAGTAATGCGGAAGTTGTATACCGACTTTTATGGTTTGCATAATACGGTAAGATAAAGGTGATAAGTGGAGCCGGAATATTGCGGATTGCTACATTTGGGTGCGTATTCAGAAATAATCAGCACGTGATTAAAAAGACCACGGCAGTGGTGGTTCCAGCTTTTGCTTTTTGTTTTCTGTGGACATCATGGGGAAAAGAAAATGACGATAACGAAAATATCACGCCCCATTCACTATACATGCGCTGTAGCTTCCGCAACTGCAGAAAGTGCCAGAGCACTTAAAGAGAATGCTCCACGTTTTAATATATTGATGGAAGGATGAAATATGCCCACATACAACGTTAGGTATACTTTTAAGTGGAAACGAAGGTTCTAGACAACGCTTTTTCTCTGTTAAGTAAACATGCACCATAATACGTCATTGTCTGATTGCGTCATCATACCTTGCACAACATTGGTTGAGAGCTAATTTACGGCCTGGAAATCCGGAAATCCTTAAATCGTGCTCACGAACGCCAGGTATGAACGACTCGACAATCCTTGGCCTCGGTCGCCGCATGTCTGATGGAATGACGGAACTCAAATGACGCAATCATGGCGTCATGGTTGCCTGGGTGACCTTGTAATAGTTTCTTCAACATAGTCTGCACATCTTCGTGGGCATGTAGCTGAGAAACTGGAGGGCTTTTGGTCTTAAGAAGGGCAGGACCGTGAACTGTACTGAACCATCTTCGAGATGCATATTTCAGTTCAAAACCCCATACAAACGTGAAACACTTCCTTTGAACTGAGGAAGGCACACAACCGTGAGTCGGTTACGGCGTGGACAAGGTATCGCAAGCACAGCCGTCTTCCAAACAATATCAAACATTCAGAATACCAATTCAGCTTCTCAGATGCCTTCCTGAGTGCTGTCTCTATCAACGCACTATCATGCTCGCGCATGGGCATTGTTAACCATGCCATTCTTGGCAAAGAAACAAAGCGAAAAAGCCTCGAAACTGTGCAAATGAGCGTAATGAGACAGATAATATTACCCAAACGACCATTCGCTGGCTCTGCGAGGGCCGTTTGTAGCGGCGTTGCACTATTTTGCTAAATGGCTATGTGCTGACGCCGTGATGTTTGCCTCACACCGTCCATCACGCCTCAGTCCGGCGGAACAAACCTCACACCGTCCATCAGGCCTCAGTCCGGCGGAACAAACCTCACACCGTCCATCACGCCTCAGTCCGGCGGAACAAACCGCGCTAAATATATATATATATATATATATATATATATATATATATATATATGTGTTTGATTAGAAATAACTGCTGACTCAGCATTGACGACTCCCTCATTGACGACGATGACTCAGCTGACCCAGCATTGATAACTAATTAAAGTAAGACAGACTCCTATTTTCATTTTTATACATGTAAGAAACACTCGTAATGGGGACACTACAAAGACACAATGGGAACACTATTGCCACAATCACATCAGAAGTGCTCACCGCCCACCACCTGGTAGTTCAAGACTTGTGCAAGAATTTGTCTGTCTGTTTAAAGCTGGAGTGAGTTCGTTAATGAATATGCTTTTCCAAATTTGAAGGCGTCTTCTGTCACTGCACGTCCGTAAAATGTCAGTGCTGTCTGTCAGTTGTGATCGTGTCAATGCCATGTCGTGTTCGTGTCGCATGTGGTCCAGAGATGCCCCGTCACGTAAGTGTATTGTCAGGCGTCGTGAGAGTGTCGCTGTGGCCACACCAATGTAGTGTATGGAACGAAGTTTGCAGCGTTCGATGTTGCATTGGAATTGATACACTACATTGGTGCATTTTAGATTGTCGGGTTTGTCTGGGCTGTTTCTCATAAGAAAGTTAGATATTTTCTTATTACGATAGTAAATGACGATACCCTTTTGTGGTCGTTTTTGCCTTTAACATGTCGAAAGATAATTTCCCGTAAAACTTTTTCGTCTTGTTTGTGGGCAGATGTCATTTGATTTTGATAATACAGTCTGACGGTTGGTTGGATGTCTTGCCTTGGTTTGCCTTCAAAGTGTCTTGTCGTATGCCGTTGTGTCTCGTTTTCAACGTCAAAATTTGAAGAAAAAAAAACCGTTGTTCACCAAGATCTGTCTGATTCTTATCAATTCTGAACGTAGTCCTGTCCAAT